ACTAGTATGAGGCTGTCGTGATCGGCGCGACTAGGTCATATAGCTAGGTAGCTGACTATAGGGCAACTATAGTGACTAGGGCTAGCCGCGACTAGGTAGTCGAGTTGTGTACTGCCTGGATTGTACGGTAGTGTGTGTAGTGTGTTATATTGATACAGAGCAGATAGCTTTGGTATTAGTTCTATAGTCGTGCAGTAATTATTCTGTTCATATCATGTATTAAGCATTAGGTAATGGGTATGCTGGTTACAAGGTAGTAACACATATTTGTATATATTTGCAACTGTAGTATAGTTATAATTAAGCTTACAGCACAGGGATCCTTAGAAGCGACTAGGGTACGGACCCCGGAACGTTACAATACTAACTTCTTTATTGGAGCAATTTATGCAACTTTGAATCAGTGTATTCAAAAGCCATTTATATTATGGATTTTTTTTACATTTTGTGTACCTTTACATTTACGAGATTTCGCAAAGATACGATGTCTACCTCACCAATACATTTACTCTTCATTATGGGATGAATATTAACAAATGAGTATGAAATATCCCCTAAAAGCAATGCAAAAACGAAAGTCTGATGATAAAACGTTAAAAAATGATAACAAAATGTTTAAGAACAAATTTTAAAAAGTGACAAGAAAATTACATTTGATCTCAAAATTGATTAGCAAAAACTTCATCAATCACGCCCAGTGATGAAGCAAATTGAAATTTAGATTTTTTCGTGACCTAACATGTACTGAAATGTTTATGGTTATACTTGTAACGAACTTCATTCCCAAGTGTATTGCTTTTTGGTGAACGCCAGGGAGGTATCTTAGGCTCTCAACGTTTTGGGTACATAGGATACGCTGTTGTGCGACTTTCCACCACTTTTTTACACTGAAATTTTGCATACTTATTTGAAATAGAACCACTTCTTCACACTATGAACATACAAGAATAGTAAAAATGAAAAATCCTATATTTTACCACGGACTTAGATAACAGACTAATCTAATTCCGTGATTTTACATTACAATTTTCACAAAATGTTTGATTAAACTCACATTCTGGATGATAGATATTCAAGCACTACATGATAGAAAATGTCCTTTACCAAGAATTACGATGCAAAAAATACGAATTTATTTTCAGAAAAATACCTTTAGCCTGATATTTCATTTTTCGACCCCATGCTGTAACTAGGTTAATCAATCATCTGAATAATTAGAAGTGTGATTCACAGTAATAACTTCAGATGTAAAAGGGATTGAAAAAAGTTGAAACAGCAGAATAAATCTCTGAGCACTTCTGAAACAAAAGTTATGAAGGAGCAGGCTCCTATGTAATTTTAACATAGCTGGAAATAGTCTCTTTGTATGAATAAAGTATTTCCATAGTCCGAATTTAGTCATATTGTCTGAAACAGCACGCGCCGTTTGTACGACGTGAACAAACGACTTCTAACAGTTTTTCAATACGCCTTCTGATGCTATATTTGAACTTGTGATTAATCATCTGAAGACAAACATATACTACATGGCTATACATTCTAACTCGTTGCCTCACAAAGAACAGATGTTTTACAGTAGTTTGGGTCCGTCGTCCTCGGGTATTTTTATCCCGGACCGTCATTTTGATATTCTTTATTTTTCCAGTGAATAAAAGTTGCTTCATTTCAAGAAAATAATACAATTTCTGGACTGAAAGTGATAATGTGTTTCATACGTCATGACCGTTCTTATTAACCACGCAATTTCACAACACTGTCATAGTCACATAGCTTCTGCATTGGGTAACAAGTGCAGAGCGGTGCTTGTCATGCTGGACTTGTCAGCTGCATTTGACGTCATCGACCATGGCATACTTTATAAATGTCTGGAACACTCTTATGGAGTGACTGATACCGCACTATGTTGGATACAGTCATACCTGAGGGAACGACGACAGTGTGTTGCCATCGGATCTTCCACCTCACATGACAAAGTACTAGATTCCGGGGTTCCCCAGGGGTCGGGGTTAGGACCACGAAAATATTGTATGTACTCCAAACCGATTGGTATGCCGATGAAACACAAAAGGACATGGTCATCAAACCACAGGACAGTTGGAATACAGTCTCAGAAAGTCTGGAAGCTTGTCTGACAGATATCAGTATCTGGATGAGGAAAAGACGGAACTAATCGTTTTTTCCCCAAAGTGTCAGCAAACACTGGCCCTCCAGCTTAAGGTCGGTGCCAGAACTATTGAGACTGTTGCAGCTGTTAAAAGCCTAGGGGTATAATTTGATAGTTCGCTGAACATGGAGAAACAAGTAACGCTATTGCAAAATCCTGTTACTACCAGATCAGGAACATCGGCTGTATTCGGCAGTTTATAACTGCAGATGCATGCAAGATTTTGGTGCATTCACTTGTTACCTCTCTGTTACTTTATGGTAACGCCCTGCTCTGTGGTATATCTGACAAACTAACTAGTCGTCTGCAGAGGGTCAAGAACACTGCAACACGGCTGGTTACTCGTACTCGAAAGAGAGAGCACATCACACATGTGTTATATTCATTGCACTGGTAACCTGTACGATACAGATCGCAGTACAAAATGTTTGTGTACGCATACAAGGCACTGAATGGAACAGCTCATCAGTACCTACAGAAGCGTGTTACCCTGTATCAGCCGTCAAGATCACTGCGGTCAGAGTCAGAACCATTGTTGTGTGTCCCAAAATCTTGTACTGTGACCTATGGAAACCGGTGCTTTGGGAGGGTTTCGGCCACGTTGTGGAATAGCTTAGCATCTACTATTAGAAAGTCAAATACTCCGGCCAAATTCAAGAGGGACATCATAACTCACCTCTTTACGTCAGCATTTTAGGGTCTCTGCAAAGACGTTATGTAAATACCACCCTTTATTTGTTAAATTATGTGCACATTGCTTGCTTAAATGTATAAAAGTGATTGTAAGCCTTTGTTTTTGTTTCACAATTATAACTATTACTATTATCCATAGCGCTTTAGAGTAATTTTACAAATTATATAGGGCGCTTTATAAATTTGTATATTATTATTATTATTATTACACCAGCTAAATCCGTCGTACAACATCACAACAAATACATTGTATCCCCTGGTGGGCTCCATCGCAAAATCATACTTACCAGTTACTTAATTTCCGGATTGATAGTATCCAAATTCCGAACGGTAAATCTTTGCAACACTGATTGTTTGTGTACGTGACAAAAGCCGTTTCCCCTCAGGTACAGCAGTTGACCTAACCCAATGTGTATACGTTGTGTAGTTTGGACCAAATGTATTATGTATTTTAAGGTTGAGGCGTGAAAGAGATGTTCGTTTCTGCGCAAAGATATGAATTTACGGTGGATTATTTCACCTCACCTGGCCCAAAGCTGTATTGTAGGTACTTAAATGCTATATTATTTGTGCATGGCTTGGTTGGGTTGGGTTGGGTTGGGTTTTACGTCCTATTTACAGCTAAGGTAATTTAAGGACGTGCCTCCATGTGTGTAGTGTATGCGTGCTTGGGTGTGTGTATGCAGGAGACAGGGTATGTTGGTGTGCTTGCCTCCTTGTGATAGCGCGGATCTGATGCCGACTTTATAGTGCTATCTCACTGAAATATCATGCCGAAGGCACCCAGCACAGCATTCCGCCCGGTAACATTTTACTGACAACGGTTGAACCAGTTGTTGCCATTCCCCTAAATGCTGAATGTTAAGCAGGGGAAAAAAAACACCATTTTTAATGACTTTGGTATGTCCCGGCCCGGGGACAGAACCAATTAATATTGCTCTCCTCACCTGGGCGAACGCTCAACTTTAAAGCCAAAAGTGAGGGTAAAATAAAACAAAACTGACCAACCTGTCTTTTGAAGATTACAAAGAAGCGACACCAGACTTAAAAGCCTGTCAATTTTTACCGTTACGTGACCGCGAGATTCTTTTGATGTACATCAAACGATCGAACTAGTCTTCTTGTCTCATCAACAACGTCGCGCACACTGAACCTTCAATCTTAATTGTTCCAGGGGTGCAGAGAGCGAAGGTGAGTGTGACCCCCGGACCAGGAGGATGATTATCCACACAAAGATACAAAAATTATATGAAATGATTATTGAAAACACTGGAATCCTGTCAAGATTGGCTTATAGACAATAAACTTCTTCGTGGAAAACAGAAAGTGCATGTCCTATTTGGTCCCAAAAGAAAATTAAGTATTCATGTTTTGTTTGGTTTAATATGAAATGTAATGGACATACCATTGAATCCAAACAACATGTAACATTTTTATTTTTTACAAATGATTGTGTGTTAAAGCCTGATCGAATTATTTATATCTATCATAAAAGGCCTGATTATATAATTATCCCCAACTCCCATTGTATATAAATATCAATAAAATATGTTTAAACTAAACTATCTATGCAACTGTTTCGTGAATTGTATTGATTTATTTAGATATACGGGTCCCCTTTGGAATTATGCCACAATGAGGCTTTAAATTAACCGAATCCAATCCACTATGACTGACTACAAATTCTATGGCATATGTGATGACATATATATATATATATATATATATATGTGTCCAATTGCAAAATGTAATATCAGTATAATGTCTGCCTTTTACATGAATTAATCTTATTTTTTATTAATAATATTAATTAAGCTTTTTAACTTATCAGGTTACAAATAAAATTTTAATACCGTGGCCAACCCTACACTAATACAGTAAATCCTGCCAAATATGCAGTTACTCGATAAAATATTTAGTCGTATCTTGTTTTTCATCCTATAATGTAACAACTAAATGAGCGTCATCGTATGTTGGGTGGCATGTAACCGAAGAAATCAAATATGCGCTCGTTGATTGTGTCATGCTCAATCTTATGACTATTACAAGTCTAGAAAAGGGGAGGTAAATTTATATATAATCACATAGATGGCGCTCATACGGTAAAGGGAAAGTCCCGCAAATTTCCAGAGAGCGTGCAGCCTGTAAACAGAGGAACCAAGTTTGTACTTTTATGGTTTGGTAAGTTGAAAGTCGACATTTAGCTTAAATTTACGTTTTAGATTGATTGTCTGATTATCTTTTACGTTCATAGTCTGAATAAGCGGACTGTTAACCTCGTGTTAGAGTTCAAGTGATCCTTGCGTGATCATCTCGCTTGTAATTATCAGGTCCAGTACACTGCCGATTGAGCTATATCAGTATATATGGGCGCGTCTAATTACCCAATACTACCCAATACTACCCAATACCACCCAATACTACCCAATACTACCCCATACGATCCAGTTATGAACCAAATACTTCTTTGTTACTGTGAAATATCACCTTTGTAGACGTTATTTACTTCCATCTGCCATATTTTATCGGGAAATATGCGTTTTGGTGCCGAAAACATCACCGAATTGCCGTGACTATGACCCAATACTACCCAATACCACCCAATACTACCCAATACCACCCAATACTACCCCATACGACCCAATACTACCCCATACGATCCAGTTATGAACCAAATACTTCTTTATTACTGTGAAATATCACCTTTGTAGACGTTATTTACTTCCATCTGCCATATTTTATCGGGAAATATGCGATTTGGTGCCGAAAACATCACCGAATTGCCGTGACTATGACC